ACTGGTGGGACCTGGTCAGGTCGTCTGCTGACTGGTGTGACCTGGTCAGGTCGTCTGTTGACTGTGCGTGGCCACATCACCCACAGACCACCCCTGGTGCTGCGGGGCCGGGTCGTTCATCGGCGCGACCGTGACCTCTGACGATGCTGCACGCCGCGGCACGCAGCGCACTGATGTGTTTGTTGTGCGCCTCCGTGGGCGAGGCTGCCGTGATATGTGGCCGTTTCACCTAATGTCACTCAAACGCGCCAAGCGTACGACCGTTTTCATGGCTTCCAACAGTGTGATTGCAGTTAAGAGCCCTTGAACTCGGTTGCCTTGTTTTCGTCTGATCATAGCTGTAAATAGGCGGTTACATGTGAGTCGGTTTTCATCCGTCTTGCGCACGTTCTAGCTCACGGAAAAAGAAAAATTATCAGAGGCACCCTTCACTTTGGTATTAAGCGCACTAGGAAGCTCTTTCCTACTCTCTTTGCCAGCAGGTCGATCAGGTCGATGTACGGACTGTACGCAATTCCTACAATAACACCACTGCACACATTTATCGGAAAGCGAGATTTTCTCACCCTCGACCAAAGGCAGCGGAAGTCATCCTCAGTTAGGGGGGAACAATAGTCACCGTTTGGTTGTTTCTTTCCACTTGGTCATCCACAGGGTCAATGCTATTTTTCAGATAGTTGTGGCCCCAGGTTGCCTTTTCCTCCTGCCGCCCGCCCAGTTTTCATGCCCTCGCCCGCACAGCTTCGATTGGCTCCCTCACATCTCCATTTCTCTATCTCCTCTCCTACACTCTTGTGGTGCTTCTCCGTGCTAGATGTTTCACTACATCCGGTGTGTAATGAGGGCAACAGAGCCCTCACAATGGCCCGTAACTTCAGATGATGCTGGTCGTAAAATAGGGAAACGGGTGTCGTAAACGCGTTCCTTTTCGCGCCCATCGCCAAGCGTATATTGCCAGCTGGTAGCATTGCTCAATTCCTGACTCTCAGCTAGTCATGCTGAGCAGTGCCTGTGCTGCCCGCCACAGCACCTGAGCGGCCTGGGCCGTCCCGCTGTCGTCTGCTGATATCGCGACGGGGCCGGCTGCCGGGGCGCGGGTGATGGATGCCGGGACCAGGCTCGGCCGGACGTCGGCGGCCCCCCGCGGCGACGGCGGCGGCGGGCGACCTTGGCCCGGCCCGCAGAGGCGACACCTCTCCTCTCCAGCCGCCGGCGGTCGACGCGCGCCGGCCCGGCGCGGCTATCAGCACCCCGGCAGCCGCTGGTGGCACCCGGTCCGCTCCGGCCGCTGGGCCAGCCGCGGGCGCACAGGCCTCTGCTGACTGATACAGACTGATGCCGTCTGATGCAACTAAAGCCGGCTAATGCCGACTAATGACCGATTCCAACTGATACCAACTGAAGCCAACTGGTGTCAACTGATAATACCGACTAATGTCTGTTGGTGCCGACTGATGCCGACTCATGCCGACTCATGCCGACTCATGCCTATTGATGTCCACTGATGCCGGCTAATGCTGACTGAGGCCAACTGATGCTGGCTGATAACCACTGATGCCAGCTGCTGCCGACTGATGCTGACCCACGTAGTGTGCGGATGGAAAGTCGTCTTTACGAAGGCGTAGGAGTTTCGTGTGAACCATTCGTGCCGATGATTTTTGATGCAATTGTTTAGAATATCGCACAATATCTCGATTCACTGTGTTCAGTACGTGCGGCTGCGGGAAGTAACAAATATCCATGAAGGTCTAAGATGTAGGTGTGAATAAGCAAGCCGTTAGGAACAATAAGAAACGACCATGAGACAACTGCATTCAACGGTTGACTCCAGAAAATGTCCAGTAGAAACGACTCTTCTGCAGCAGGTGGAACATTTAGCTTAGGCAAGCTTTGTGAACTGTGATGTAAGTCCAGGAACAGTTCACGACAAAATGAATTCCACTCGGTGGTTTGGGTGTTTCATGCGACCGATGAATACGCATAAACCAGGACCCGCCACTACGAATAGTAGGCCATTCCTGAGTTATTCAGCTGATGAATAGCGTCAGACAGGTACCTCTTGTAGCCTGTCCGCCCATTTTCAAGGACGATAGCATGAATACAGGTCTGCTTAGCGGGGTCGACGGATAGGTCAGGGGTCACGACCCGCCGTTTCCTGATCCACGAGCACCCTTCAGTGGTTCTGGACATGGAAAGTAGAGAAGGTCAGTTTGAGGAGAGCACCAAAGAGTTTCTAAACTCCTCTATCCTAGGTGTCGGTCCCTTCGACAGCCCTCAGTGTGACAAACAGTGGGAGTCACATCGATGTCGGAGATAAGCCCCACCAGGGCCGGCAAAGTGGTGCAGATGTCTTTACTTCACCTGCACGCCCTCTTCACCCAGGGGCGCATTCACCTTGTGGCCGCCATTCGTCTTGTGACCGTGCATGCCCCACCTTATCGAACTCGTTACATACGCTTATACGCGCACGTGAATCTGTGTTGACATATTGAAGCTCGAGATCGATAAGTAGAACTAAACAGATCAAGAGCGTGCTTATGTGGGTACATTGACTCGTTACTCCATTCAGTGAGAAAGGCTGCTTTGTTATCTGTCACTCCGCTAATATACAGAGAATGTAACGGATTTAAATGTAATTATATATTTCCTTGATTAAAGAATGTTCGGAAGGTCATATCTCTAATAAAAACAAAGCACCACCACAAGAACAGATGCAGATCCGTCCCCATTTCGCCATCTGTCCTTTATTATCGTTGCATAGTGCCTTGGGACAGATCAAGTAGGCAAATGTCAGACAAAAGTCAAACTTTAGGTGTTAGCCGCTTTAACGAGTGACTACGATGCGACTTTTTAAATGTTAAAAAGTTAGCGCTCCAAACAACATCACTGAAATGAGCGATTTTCGGCTAGAAATGCTTTACAGAGATTTAAAGACGTGTTTGCAAAGACGCACATCGTGATAAAATTCTGATTTGTTGGTTAAAAGCGAAATCGTGTTCGCACGGGCAGGTACCGTGTCAGACCCCTTTCTACAGAAAGTTGCTCGAAACTTTTGTAGAGGGTTCGCTGGCAGATGCGACAAGAAAAAACTCCACTACCCTGGCTGGCCGTCTCCCTGCTCACATCTATGTGGCACTCATCACGCCTACATCCATAAATGTGGTTCATGATGGACCATCCTTGAACTAAATGATCTTCAAAGCGCCCCTTGCTCCGCACGACACCGGTGTAAACAATAATGGCTTGACGCTCCCGACCAACCCACGCGATCGCCGGGCCTGGTATTACCCTTAGAATTTGGGTAAACTGGAGGCATGGACTGCAGAAACAAAGGGCTATAAAAAGTCTCGTTCCGCATATTAACACGCGCCAGGGTGGCCGGTTGAATACCCTGCGCTCGGTTGGGGGTCAGTTTGACCCCGCTGAGATCTCAAGAACTAAGATGGATAGACACACCAAATTCACAGGGTGTGTTGTCCTGTACGTGTGCTTACTTAGGGCTAAGTTTGGCATTCCTAAGTTATGGCCTTTGGTTCAAATAATGTCAAGCAAAATCGAACTCCACGTCAGTCTCCAAGCGCCCTCAGAACCTAGATGCCCGTTCTAAGGGAAAGGTTTCATGCTCATTCAGGGTCAGTGACCGTGTATGACATTGTGAAGGTCATGGTGACCAAAATCGTAGGCAGTGCTTCGAGATTTGCGTTTGAATAAGCGACAAATACTATGCACGGGAGTATGTTCCTGAAAACAAAGACCAGGTCATGTTAGGTCATGAAAGATTTAAAATGCGGTTTTTGCTATCAATATATCTGAATTGAGCGCCAGAAACTACCCCATACAACAAGCCTTCTAAAAATGAAACAGGTTGGTTTTGACCTTGGTCTGACCTTCATACCTGACCCTAGGTCAATTAAATATTCCCATTTAACTGCTTTGTTGCCTGAGAAAGTATCCCAGAGAAGTATGACTTTGCCTAACATTCCGTTGTTGCATCAGATCAACCGATTCCCTGGAAATTGACTTTGCTGAATTAAGGGCCTAACTGACTTGCCGTAGATCAGCAGCTTGAGAGAAATGGACCGGCGAAAAGGAAATGGACAGAAAACAATGGTACACCTACATTTTTGATACCAAACGATTTGTTATTCAGCTGTCTACAGCTATGCAAAATTCTCCGCGGCTACACCACGTCGTTTGGAAACCATTCGGGAAAAACCTCCAGGGGTCAATTTGACCCCACCCGAGCGCGCGTTAAACGTATTCTGAGTTGATAAACATGGTTCAGGTAATAAATGACTCTGAAATTGCACGAAAATTACCATCTCCTTGGTCAAGTGCTTAAAATGTACTGCAACTTTCCCAAACACCCTTAAAAGCGTTTTACCAACTATTCAACGCATTAATAAATCCCTAAAACAGCTATTTTCACAACATCCTGAAAACAGAATATCAATACCAAACATTGCAGGCCACGAACATCAAGCCTACCTCAGAAAGCGTGGTGCAAATATGTTATGCCAGATATTCTCAAAATGACGCTGTTGTTTACCTGTGGTTAGATGAATGTTGGTCATTCCTGTCCTTATTTGAAATGAGGTGTTTTTATTTTAGAAGTTATTCAGTGCCTTTCTATGCAACGTTCTTGTATGTTGTTGGCGAGCTGTTTAGCTGGTGTGATGTTCTCCCCCAAAAACGTTTTTAACTTGGTGGCAGACCATTAATTCCTTCCATTGGGAATTGATGGTCTGCAGCAGAGGGAATTAATGGGCTATAAAGCAGTACTTCATTTCAAGATGATGCGGAGCGAAGTAAAGATAGGCCGTTCACAAAAAAACATTCTGCATAAAAGCCCAACAACTGTGCTGCATGATGAATTGCAAGACCCACTTGGCTGTGTTGGTTTTGAAATGTTCATCGGCTGGATTTCGGGATATGCCAAAATGATAGTTCAACGATAAATCCAGCAAACTGCGCGCTCAGTGGCTGTGTAAAACAGTTGAAAAAACACCATGTGTATATTCCTTAATTACTTAATTACATGCACAGAGTGGGCTGCAGAACACATCACGGGGACTCAAGTACGGCACTTAAGCAAACCAGGCAAGCACAAGCTCAGGAATAACATTATTGCACAAGTACTGCTCTTAACCTACCTATAGCTAGGACTATCTAAGTCACAGACATATAAAAATACTTAAGGCTAGATGTCACGCTTGTCTCTCCCGAGTCAGTCGCGTGCGGAGAGCGGGTCCCTCCGGGGCACATTGGTGGACCATGCTGGGCAGTTTCGCTGGATGTTCTCCCTCTCGTCACGCCAAGCGAAGTGGCGTGCGCAGTGACCGGGCATCCGCCGCAACCGGCGGCGGGTACCTGGCAGAGACAATCGCCCCCGGTCCACCAATGAGCCCCGGATCTTGGCCCTGCTACTTCCATCACTGTCCTCCACTCCTCATCAACCGCCATCACCATCCATCCTCCTTTTCCCTCTCATCTCCACCAAAAGTATTCTATCTTCCTCCCCCCGCGTTTTTCGTTTTGTGTTTCTACACACGTTGTCTTGTCCGCTCACATCTTTTCTCCGATCCTCACACTCCTCCTCCCGAGCCGTCTCCTCCTCCTCCTTCGGACGAGTGACGTCACCGGTCCGGCTGGCAGTGACGTCGCCCTGGCAGTGTTTGTTCCCGGCGCGGCCGGCTCTCTAGAAGAAGCAGGCAGGCCCGATCTCGACCTTGAACAGCTGGTCGCGCCGCCCGACGGAGCGCATCCCGATGTCGGTGAGCGGCAGGCGCTGGGTGCGCGGCGTCCTGACGCGGATCAGGGTCTGACCCCAGCTGGACGGCGCCCCCTGCAGCAGGAGAGAGACAGAGACACGGTCACTAGACAGCGCGGCGCGAACGCGCGACCCGAGACAAGCACGTCCGGCACGCACAGTCACACTGACGGGGCGAGACGAGCGCGCTGAACGTGGTCTGATGGCGTCATCCTCCGCATCTGCGTCTGGAAGACAAGCCTGCATCCTTGGCGGCGTGATCCTGGTGGTCACTGATGACAATCTCTCACCCTTGGAAGCTGGCGTCCGGCCAGACTCTGTCGCTCCAAACTCTCGTCAGCTACCGGAGGTCCCATGAGGCCAGGCGTCACCAACAAGCCCTTCACAGTATACCAGACGCCTGTTGCGCTCGTGTTGCGATGGGACCTGATGCGCCTGTGTCATCTGGTAGACCCTCACCTATGACAGATGTAAGTTTCCGCCAGACGCTCCGGACTGGTGCAACATTGACGTCATTTATGGTTACTTACGCAGCTCGGACGGCGAGCGTTAAAAGTTTTGCCACTTAACTGCCTTTTCAGACAATCGCTTAGGCCCTCTGACACGTGGGTCAAGGTGCTGAAACGCGCAGCCGCCGGGCGCAGAGTGCGCCATTATAATTTGAAGTTCTGTGTCATCAAAAGTCGACGCGTCTTCATCGATCTTGTACAGAGATGGATGGACGTGGGATCTATCATCCGTGTCCGATCACCGGTTCGCTCAACGAAGACGTTACGTAACCGCCACACAACATAGATGTATGCCGGGATACAGGATGGTTACAACAGCTTCGTGTTCAACACCTCGTGTTGATGGTAATCTGACAAAGAAATTGCATCGACCCGCATCGCGCCCATTACACAGCGCCGATAGCGGAGCCTGGCGCGTGCCGCATCCAAGCCGGAGCCTCCGCTGAGCTGTGATTGTGACCCCGGCTGGACCCAGCCGCATTTTGCGCGCTGTGTTAGCGTACAGGCCATGACCACCCTTGACCATGTCACGATGTGACCGCAGACGTCCGGCGCGGCGTCCGCCTGGCCGCACCAGGTGTCGGAGCATTGACGCCGCCGAACAGCGCGGGGCCAGCTGTCCGCACCGTCCCTGCTTGACGGGGTCCTCCGTGTGACGTCTGTCGTCTGCTGTGTCCTCCCTGTGTGACGTCTGTCGTCTGCTGTGTCCTCCCTGCGTGACCTGTACTACCATTGGATGTCTGCTGACCGGCTGGCCACCCGAGAGCAGCTCTGGAGCGTGCCCGTCCCCAGCTCCGAGACTCGACTCGAGTCCCGACTCGGCCGAGTATGGCTCCCTAGTGACAGTCGCGGCGCGCTCGCGACGGACCGGCCCGGCCGCCGGCGGTGCAGTCACGTCCGCCTCCTGTCGCCGAACGCGACGTGCGCCGCGGGTGGCACGGGGCGCACGCGCGCGGGTGGTGCGTGTCGCGCCGCGAGCACGCCTCCGGACTGAATGGGGGCAGGCCCGCGACAGCCTGTCGCGCCTGGATTCCTCAAACGCGGCGAGGGAGACTCACAGACGGAGCCGGGCGGCGGTCGGCGCTGTTCGGATAGGGCGGCGGTCGGGGCAGAAGCATGACTTCGACGCGACCCCCGCCTCCCTCCTGCTGCACGCCTCAAGGCTGTGCCGGGCGCTCCTAGCGGTCTCCCGCAGGGCCGAGACGCCGGCTGACAGGGATCTCACAGCGGACGGAAGCGGGCCGTTGGAGCGAGCCCCGGACGCAGCCTGGCCGGACGTGCGGTGAGATGCGGCGTCACGCAGCCCGTCCGTTACCACAGGTTTGCCGCATGAGCGATGACTCAATCCAACCATGGGTTGCGTCAGGACCTGCACCCATGGCTCGTTCAGGGTCAGACCATTAAGGAGTTTATGAAATGGCAGAGAGAACAAATGGTAAATAGGTTAATAAATGCGCCGTTTTAGTCCAAATGTGCGGTTTCGGAGAAGAAGACAGATTATCGAGGGCGGACGACCGGTTGGCACACATACCCAAACGTGTGAGTCAACGACTTTGACCCCTCTGGAAACGGAGTATCAACGCATGTGGATACGTTCATACCAATAAGAATGACAGCGAAAATAGGCGCGAACTATCCGCAACCGATACCACGCTTCATGGGGCGTCTTAAAATCAACAACAAACCATACTTTTATGCACCGCTCCAGTGTTATCATTCCGACAAACATCGTGGGGATGTCCGCGCCGTCGCGTGGCATTATCAATGTGACAAAAAAAACTCTGCCGCTCTGGTTGTCAATGTTTTGCCAGTGGTGATGGCTGCTCATGCTGCGAGCACATCGATTGAGGAAGGAGCACCAAGAACGCTAAAGCCATCTCGTCACACCATTAATGACTGCGCTGACGTGGTTGTCGAGGGTTCCCTGGTGATGGACAGCTGCAGATCGAGCCGCTGCACGAAGGCCCCAAGGCTGTCGAGGGCTCCCCTGGTGATCGGCAGCTGCAGACCGAGCCGCCTTACGAAGGCCTCGAGGTTGTCGAGGGCTCCCCTGGTGATGGGCAGCTGCGGATCGAGCCGCCGCACGAAGGCCCCAAGGCTGTCGCGGGCTCCCCTGGTGATGGGCAGCTGCAGACCGAGCCGCCTTACGAAGGCCCCGAAATGGGTCGATAGGCAAATTGATTCCCAGGAGCAAATGGCAAAAGAGGAGACAGGCAAGGACGTCACCACACAGTCAAGGATCTAACCAAACAGAATCCAGGAAATGCTGCCCGACGTCAGTTATGAACGTTCACGTTGCAAATTATCCACGAGAGCCTTTTCATTAGCGCTGAGTGTGTGTGTGCGGGGGCAACAAGCCGAGCAAGATCCACGAAATAGACAGGAGACAATCAGAGATTACTTGATGTGTAAATTATCCAATGGTGTTCAGTTGGACATCTTCAGGCCAACCGGTGACTTTCCAAAGTCAACCTGCATGCCCAGGAACAAAAAGAAGGAAGCTCATGGCCTGACGAGTAAAAAAGAGCAATATGGGCGTAAAATATATATTCTAATAGCGTATGGGAAGAGGCAAAAAACCAAAGGCGATATGGCAAGGCTTCAAAAATAGCACATAATCTTGTTTAAATAGTTTTTGGACAAGTATTGTTCTGCGACCGATCCCAGATCAAAGTCAAAACACGTGGTCGATTACGTTTCATCTCAGAAATGTTACCGACGCATCTAAAATGATTTGCTCGCTTGGTAATCAAAATTTTATTCTGTGAGCCATTTACTGCCATGTAAAGGATGTCCGCCAAGACAATCAAATTGCAAGCCTCCAAATATGGGACCATAGTTCAAAATAAGCAAAGCTGACCATGAAATCACACAGTTTTGGCTTAAACGCTTATGGAAGGCAAGTACGCAATAGCCGGGTCATAAAATATGGCAGTATTTAAACCATAGCGCTGTACTGACGTCATCTAAATTCGAGTGCAAAAGCTGCCACTCTGGAAAGCAATTGCCGCGAATTCTTACCAGATATGTAAAATCTCACAACCACCGTCTGAGTTGGCACTTTGCCTCAGAAAAGCCGCCAGGGACAATCCCCAGGCGTTCGATTGACTTCATCCCTTCTGAGAAATTTTCGCAAGCAATAAGGAGAACGAGGACTCACAAACTTTCCTCATGCAGCATGGTATCAGATTTGACTACCAATCTGAGCGTGTCGAATGACACGCCAAACCGTTGAGTGAGCGTTTCCTCAGCAAGCATCGAGAATGATTGGCGGTAGACCGAAGAGGGGTCGAAATCGTGCCCACGAAAACCAAGCCTAGGCCAGAACGATGCATGGCGTGGGATGCAATGAGCCACCGGACTGACTCATGTCGGCTAGCCTCGTGTCGTAACCAGGAACTAAGCCATGTACTGCGCATTCCATGGTGGTAATGCCCTTGAGAAGCCGCCACAGCACGCGTGGCCCAGGACGTGGGACCCCGCTTGATCCGAGCCGTGTGGACGATCGCTGTTCGGTGTTCTGAAGGTAACATCGCGCCGATGCCATGGAACCTCGCGTCGGGCTTTCAGCTTACACTGAAAATGCTTTTAAGGACGTGTGTATTGATATATCGCAAAACCATTGCGTAGCTTAGCATGCGCGATGCCAATTTTGGGCGACAATGTGCTGATCGATCCACTGTGGATGTGTCGACTCATGTACATACTTAGCTGTGATTCGTCCGCTAAAAGCGGCGTTCGTGTCCTGACGTCTCATGGGGAGCTTGGCATCTCGCATTTCCGCGAGCCGTTGACCGGTCCAGACAAAGCCCGCTCGAGTGCGGTTTCGTAAGGTCCCCGTCTCTGCCGCCTCTGTGCATCCAGAGGGAAGACGCCGGACGAGGCCTGCGAATCGCCGCCTCTCTGCTGCCTGACAGCTGTCGGTCGACGGAGGGCCCTGCGGCCGAGGTCGGCAGCGCGTGTCGGAGGCGGCTTCCACACTCAGTCAGGACCGGGGGCGCTTGCACAATCCAGTTCGGGTCGGGACTCGGGACCTCCTCTGGATCCAATCAGTATCGGAACTCCAGCTGGATCCAGTCAGGGTCCGGACTCCCGCTGGGTCCAGTCAGGGTCGGGACTCCCGCTGGATCTTGCCAGAGCAGGGGCTCTCGCTGGATCTATCCGGGGTTAAAGCTCCCGCTGGATCTAGCCAGGGTTGGGGCTCCCTCTGGATCGAGCCAGGGTGGGGGCTCCCGCTGGATCGAGCTAGGGTTGGGCTCCCGCTGGATCTAGCCGGGGTAGGGGCTCTCGCTGGATCTAGCCAGGGTTGGGCTCCCGCTGGATCTAGCCGGAGTAGGGGCTCCCGCTGGATCTAGCCAGGGCTGAGGCTCCCGCTGGATCGAGCCAGGGTAGAGGCTCTCGCTGGATCTAGCCAGGGTTGGGGCTCCCGCTGGATCTAGCCAGGGTAGGGGCTTCCGCTGGATCTAGCCAGGGTTGGGCTCCCGCTGGATCTAGCCAGGGTAGGGGCTCCCGCTGGATCTAGCCAGGGTTGGGGCTCCCACTGGATCTAGCCAGGGTTGGGGCTCCCGCTGGATCTAGCCAGGGTTGGGGCTCTCGCTGGATCTAGCCAGGGTAGAGGCTCTCGCTGGATCTAGCCAGGGTTGGGCTCCCGCTGGATCTAGCCGGGGTTGGGGCTCCCGCTGGATCTAGCCAGGGTTGGGGCTCCCCCTGCATCCTACCAGAACCAGTCCGCGCCTGGGTTCCCGCTAAACCCAGTCAGAGTTGTGTCGTCTCGAGTCTCGACGCTCGCGGCGAACTAGGAGAGGGGGGGGGGGAGAGGGGCGCAGCGTCAATGGAAGGCAGCCTCTGCACCGGCGGACTGGCCGTCATCAGCATTCGCTGGGCGTCGCTTTTGGCGGTCGTTATGGCAGACGGCGGTGAGAAAGCGCAAGTTGTCCAACGGCGGTCGGTCGGTGAATGCTTCCACCGATCATTCGATGGTGCAATGTTTTCGCGCCGTTCGAGAGGTGGTCACGCACCGAGTGGGCCGGATCGTCGGGCTGGGGATGGTGTGACCTGTGGTCACAGGGCGCGGCTGACAGAGCGCGGAGCTGTGCTTGCCACTAGCTCGGACATGCTGAGGCTCTTCGCACAGCCGATTCGAGCTTGTGGTGCAACCGTGCAACTGTGCATATTTATGCACAACCTCCCCCTGCACCGAAGAAGCATGATGTGCGGGTGCTTGAGATGACCAATAAACGCCTGCCGACCGCCGGAGTCCACAAAATAGGTTTGGGATACCAGTACACCGCACAACACCCTGCCCAGTTGAGGTGATATGGAGCACGTGAACAGCTGTTTGATTTCGTCTCAGGTCCTGGTGTCTGACACAGCTGGCAGGAGATGGCGTCGGCTGGCGGCGGCGGACGGCCGGGTCTCCGAGCCAGAGATTAAATGTGGCAAGGTCTCCGAGAGAGACGGATCACAGGGAGTGTTGGGGGTCAGCAGCTTTAAGGAAAGTAGGAGGACGTAGCCGCTCTCATTCTCCGCTTTGGCATCAATCCCGTTGAACCTGCCAAGATCACACGCTGAGGAGCGGTTCAGGTGGACGCTATGTCATACTGACCCCACCCAACTGCCCATGAAAAGGAAGTGTGTGGGTGAGGGAAACTGCATGGTACCCAAACATTCCCCCTTACGACGAACTATATGCATGATTCATATCACCCCTGCATACCGCAGGTGTGCCCAGCCAGTCGGCCCGCGCTGTTCCAGCCGCCTGCCGTGCTGCCTGATCGCCGGCTCTCAACACCGGTGGCATTCACGCACCAGCGAAGGACGCTATCACTCACTGCCTCGTTGGTTGGCCAAACAGCGCGGCATGCCGTGTTCTGAGTGGACGAGGAGCGGCGTGAGGTGTCTGTGGCACCGTGCGGCGTGAGGTGTCTTGGTGGCCGTCGTGCAGCGTGAGGTGTCTTGTGGCGTCGTGCAGCGTGAGGTGCCTTGTGGGCATCGTGCAGCGTGAGGTGGTCTTGTGGCGTCGTGCAGCGTGAGGTGTCTTGTGGCATCGTGCAGCGTGAGGTGTCTTGTGGCATCGTGCAGCGTGAGGTGTCTTGTGGACATCGTGCAGCGTGTTGAGGTCTTGTGGCATGTGCGGCGTGAGGTTGGCGTCGTGCAGCGTGAGGTGTCTTGTGGCGTCGTGCAGCGTGAGGTGTCTTGTGGCATCGTGCAGTGTGAGATGTCTTGTGGCGTCCTGCGGTGCGAGATGTGATGGAATGTGATACAAATTGCGGCCATGCCGGAATGCCATGCAGTTTGAGATGTAATTTGTCGCGGGATTTTAGCTGCGTGGAATGTCTCCAAATGTCCTGCAATGTCTGATGGCTCTTGATACTGCCCGGCGTGAGATATCTTGGGATGTAGGGAAGCTTGAAATAACTCGGGATGTTGCGCAACGTGAGCTGCCTCGGGACACCGTCCAGCGTGAGATGTCTCTGAATGTCGACCAGTGTGAGATGACTGAATGTCGTCTGGCGTGAGATATCTCTGAATGTCGTCCAGCGCGCGGAGCTTCGCCAAGAGTCGTGCCGCGAGAGACGGGCCAGCCTCAACGCCCACCCGCTCCTCGGCCACCGACCGGCGCGCGGCGCCGACAAACATTGCGACAACGCTGACAAGAGCGCGGGGTGGCGCGGCCGGCCGCGTGTCGCAAGGACACCGGCGCGTGCAGGGACGCGGCTGGCCTGCCTCGGCGCATGTCACGGCAGCGTCGCGCCCGCCGCCCGCAGAGTCAGAGAAAGACGCCTCTGCCGATAAGCACCGCGTCGCAGTAGACACACCGCGGCCCGGTCGTGTTTAGCGGACGCTGACAGCATCTGGTAACTAGGTGACGTCGGTTCAGTGTTTTACAGTAGCAGGGCAGCCATCCAATCGGCGCGCGGTTGCTCTGCCACCGCAAGAAGGTCAGGAGTTACGTCACTAGTGCGGTTAACCACGCCACTGTGCGCGATGCCATTGGAGCAGCCAGGAAGCTGAGACCGTGGTCCGTGGCATGACCGGTCGCATCCCACCACTTCAGATGCGGGGCTGTAGGTCCAGCCGACTCATTTCATGGCAAGTGTAGCAGGAAGGTAGCGACAGCCCTGGTTGGGGATGGGGAGAACGCCGTGTGATCGGGGTCACGGCAGTCCTCGCAGCTGGCCGTCACGAGCCACTAGCGCTTCAGATCAAGATGTAGTAAAAACAGCTGGTGCGCGCGGCGGCGCAAACCCAGCTCCAATGTCGAAAGCCTGAGAGGCACGCATTAATGCTCTGTTTCTACGACGTCGGTGAATCGAGATTTCTCTTCTAATTGGGGGCACCAAGGTCACAGAGTCACTTTTCGGCCGACGTCTTCAGACTTTTAAATTCAGATTGAACTCCATCCAGCCTAGATTCGTTTTGAAAAATCCTTAATCAGGAGGCCGATCAGACACGTCTGTGACTTCTGAAATCGCGATCAGAAAGGGAATCTGCAGTCACCAGGGTCATGAGAGCGAGTTACTAGGTGGGACAGACCCGGTCACGCACGCACCAGGATGCAACCAGCTAGACTTCATGCTATTTGGGGTGAAAGATCTTAAAGGCACGCTCATTTCCAAGAAGCCTCTGGTAATCACACATTACTAACGATACCAGAATAAAACACAGTGTGTACTACACACTAGCTGCGTCACGGTGGTGGCTGCCCAGGTGACTGGTCCTCTCACCTGACAGCCGTCGGAGAGCGTGTCGTATTTGCTGCGGCCACGGGCATACACCTCCTGGTCGTTCCAGCTCATCAGCCGCAGGCTGCCGCGGTACGTCTCGCGCTGCGCGTTGTACACGGCCACGTGGTTGCGGCAAGTGGTACGTGATGTTCTGCTCGGCGCGCGTCGACAGCAGCTGAAGGAAGCCGATCTGGTTGGCGTCCGCCTTGTAGGAGAACTGAAAGGTATGGTAACACCGTTGACAGCTCGCTCGCTTCACGACTACACGACTACACTACACGACAGCTCGCAGTGGTACGTCTGGAGAGCGGTACGCTGTTGACTGCGGTGTGCAGAGAAAACACTTCTGGATACCGTCTGGCGACGTGAGGTCATGAGGACGTGACGTGAGGTCGACGTGAGGAATACGCGCATTATGCGAACGCCACAGCTACTCAAGCAAAACCTGTCTGTCACAAGAACACTTGGCACGGACACTGCCGGCTCCAGGGCGCCAGATTTGCGGGTGACCGGCCGTCGGTGGGCGCAGGCTAGCGAGCATGGGTTAACCTCAGATCCCCCGTTGATGTCTTCTGAGAGCCACTGGTGTTCACGGCTGCGTTTGGAGGCGGACAGCTCGGGCGTGACGGCCGGGTCCGGGTTCAGGCAGGTCATGCGCTGACCCAGGTCACAGTAGACCAGGATGGCGTCCTTCTTGTCGCCCTCGTTGGGATCGATCCAGTAATTGCCTGCGAGCGAAAAGTGCGTTCAGCAGCTGTCGCGTCATAATATTGAGCTACAGGACTGTGGGAAGGCTGTTGTTTCTATACATTGCTTCTAATGAATACAGGCAATTCTGCAACGAATGCATGATAGCATTTGCAGCACCGGTGCCGGCTGTGGCGAATACTGTAAGCAGACACCCGAACCCTTACCATTCTCCCCATCCGGTTAGGTCGCTCAGTATCCTGCTCGGCCCAGAGTGAGCAGCCACCCGAACCCTTACCGTTCTCCTTGTCCGGATAGGCCACGGCCAGGTCACGACACGTCTTGGACGGCGCGTCGGCCGTGCCGTCCGGCTTCACCAGCGTCTTGAAGCGCGCCTGCAGCTGGTTGTAGGCCATCAGCACGATCTCCTTGCGCTCGTCGTCGGTCAGCTCCTTGCCGAGGCGGATGGGCTCGTCGCTGTTGAGCGGATCGGGTCCCTGGCGGCGGCGGCGGCGGCGGGTGTGAGCTGGCAGCGGCGACGGCCGCGCCGAAGGCCGGCAGGGCGCGGCGCGGCGCACAGTGCGCCGTCCGGCCGGCTGGTCGCGGCGCGCGCAGCTCGATTGTAGGGTATGCAGGGGGACCCAGCTGTCCAGGTCATTAACAGAGGCGCGAGAATCGCCGCCGTGGGGGTGAAAAGAGCATGAAAGTTGGGAGGCATCTGGCGGCCCGTCACTTCAGGACAACGTCCCTGCTGAGGCTGGGCGCCAGCTGACCAGGAGGGCGGTCGGTACCTGGCCTCTGGGCTGGACGGCACACTCGCCACCCCCACCCCGCGGACGCGGCGCGGGTGCGACCCCAGCATGGTCGTGCCGACCGCTCACCTTGTCCTGGCCCGTCTGCATGAAGGCCTGCAGCGCAGCCACATCGAAGCCAGTCGACTCGCCGGGCGGGCCGGGCGGACCGGCCGGGCCCGGCGCTCCGGCCTGGCCCGGCCGCCCCGTGTCTCCGCTGGGACCACGCGGGCCCGGCGGGCCCTCCAGACCCTGCGGACCTGGCATGCCGTCCATTCCGGCTGGGCCCTTCATGCCTGGCTCGCCCGGGGCTCCGGGTGTGCCTGGCGAGCCCGGCGGTCCCTTCTCGCCAGTGGGGCCCTGGAAATGACACGTAGCAGTGGGCAACATTGTCTGAAAAATCACTAACGCCACGGAAAATACCCAACTTCAGCGGAAAGTGGATAAGAAATCACGAAAAGTACGACGAAAAGACAACCCGGGTCATTGTTAAGATATGTTTAGTTTTGCGCGTTTTCACCTAAACACTACTAAAATCACAGCATCCCTGTATCGCATGCATCGTCAATGTGTTCCACTTACAGCCGGACCGGGCAGACCCTGCAGACCGAGCAGACCTCGATGTCCCTTGCCGCCCTTGACGCCCTCCACGCCACGCTCGCCCCTGGGTCCCTGCAAGCCGGGCGGACCCTGCTTGCCCCTCTCGCCGGTAGGCCCCTCGACGCCCTGGACGCCGGGCTCGCCACGATCGCCGCGCTCGCCCGTCGGTCCGGACGGGCCGACGGGGCCAGGAGCTCCCTGTGGGGCGGGGCACGCACCGTCAGGCACCATACCGATCGCCTCAAAACATCATCAGTGACGATGGTCTGTACGCTCACACTTCGTTGTCATTAGGAGTTGTTGATGGATAGCACTGCTTCTGATATGAAGCGTGAAATTCTCTCACCGACCCCGCACCAAGTGGTGCCGTTGTGCCAGCCAGCGGGCGCAATGAATATAGAACGTTTAAAGGCTGTTTAAGTTGCGAGCAGTGCATAAAACGGACGAACTGCACCTTCATAAAATCGACACCGAGCACCTGATCATGCTGTTTTGTCTCCTCAACGTACTCCATTTCATCCTGAACAGCAGCAACGAGAAGAAAGCAGCGTAACCTTTGCGTGCCACTAATGCAGCAGCAGTCCAACGCCGCCACCAACACCACCACGGACGCCCAGACAGCGACATTAATCTCGAGCCCACGGCGGCTTCCGCGGTCGCGCGGCGCAACGGTGGCTCCACCGCGGCGTCGGCGGCGGCGCCGGACACTAACCTGCAGTCCGGGTGGTCCAGAGATGCCCGGCTGGCCGACGTCGCCAGGCGGTCCCTTGTCTCCGGGCCGGCCGCTGATGCCAGGCGCGCCCATCTTGCCCTCGGGCCCGCTGGGTCCCTGTTCGCCGGCCGGTCCCGGATTGCCCGGCGGTCCGCGCAGGCCGGGCTGGCCCGAGGGGCCCTCCTGGCCGCGCTGGCCCGGCTCTCCAGCCTCGCCCTGCCCGCCGACAACGTCCGTTAGCGGCAGGTCCAGAGGCGTATTCCCGAAGTGGCTCCGGTGTCACGTGCCCTCCCCCCCTCCCCCTCCCACCTCCCTTACACAATTCAGTGACACACTTTTATGTGTGTAAAAATGCTGAAAAGTTCAAATTCGAGGTAGGCACGAAAAACTAAAGGGATGGTGTGCTACAACGCGCAAGAAATGCGGCGCGGCTGCAGTGAGCTAAATCAGGCGTTCGGTAAGAACTCCCTTTCGAAATCCCGCAGAAAACTGAAATCCTGCAAATTCTTTGGGCAGATCAGATCACCGCAGAGTCCTGCGCCCTGTGCATCAGTCAGCAAATGAGAGAAGCATGCTTCCGAAGCAGACGACCTCATGGCACGAGCTCAGTCGTCCCAGCCAGGGTTATGTTGGTCTGTTCGTCTCAGCGGAAACACAGCGACCACGCCGTGAGTGAGACTGCGGCGTACCGGCGATCCACGCAAGCCCTGCGGTCCTTTGGGTCCGGAGCCTCCGGGCAGGCCTGGGAGGCCTCGCTCTCCAGCGGCGCCGGGCGGTCCGATGGGTCCGACCAGGCCCGGCAGGCCAGGCGCGCCAAAGCTGCCCTTGATGCCCTCGGGGCCCGGTTTTCCCGGGCTGCCGGCGGAGCCCTGCAGGCCGGGCCGGCCGAGGTCGCCGCGCGCGCCCTTGATGCCGGGCAGGCCGGCCAGGCCCGGCTGTCCGGTGGCGCCCTGCAGGCCCTGTGGCCCCTGCTCGCCCGGCCGGCCGGGCGCACCGGAAGTGCCCTGCGGTCCCACCGGGCCCGGATCGCCGCGAGAGCCCTTGGAGCCGGTCAGGCCGAACGGGCCTGGCGGTCCCGACGGACCCGGCTTGCCTGCGCGAGGAAAATGTGGAGGTGAGTGAGGTGAGGTGGGACAGCCGGGACACATGAGGGCGACTGGCCAACACAGCCATATATATATATATATATATATATATATATATATATATATATATATATATATATATATATATATACGTATATATATATATATATATATATATATATCGACTCTTGGCCAATGTAACTCTGCTACCCTTTGGCAGATCTTTGCTAGATCTTGTTTGAGAATATCTGGGATACAGAGCACGAGCTTTATAAGTAAAATCAGAATTAGCAAAAACATGTCGCCGATGCACAAGACTGGCATTTTGCCTGAGCGCTGTCAGTGACTACAGCGGTGACAGGTGAACAAACATCACTGAAGCTGTTACTGAGGTGAGCAAAATATCGCTGGCGTTGTGACTGAGGTGAACAAAATATCGCTGACGATGTGACTGAGGTTAACAAAACATCGCTGAAACTGTGACCGGGATGAACAGACATCACTGAAACTGTGACTGAGGTGATCAAAATATCACTGAAGCTGAGACTGAGGTTAACAAGATAACACTAAGGCTTCAACTAACGTAAACATGCTGTCACTGAAACCATCACAAACGAAGGTCACGCAACTAAGAAACCAAACTGATGCCAGTGGGCCGACTGACCTTCGGTGCCCGGGTTTCCTTGCGAACCCTTCTGTCCGGGCAGTCCCTGCTGTCCCTTGGGTCCGGTGGAGCCGGTGATGCCCTGCTGTCCTGGGAAGCCGCGCAGTCCCTGCGGTCCGGGCGGACCACGAGCGCCCATGAGGCCGGGCTTGCCCAGCTCGCCGGGCGGCCCCGACGAGCCTGGCTCGCCGCGCTCGCCAGACTGGCCGGGCGGCCCGACCGGGCCCAGCTCGCCCTGGATGCCCTGCGGTCCCGGGCGGCCGGTGGGGCCCTCCGGTCCGATCTTGCCCTGGGAGCCGGCCTCGCCCTTCGGGCCGGCGGGTCCGGTGTTGCCCCTCCTGCCGGGTAGACCCTGGCGGCGGGGACGAGCACGGCACCGTCAGAGGCGTCCTCGAGGCTGCCTGAAGGAACCTGGCGAGGCTTTGTCTGTTTTGAATGGAAGGCTGGCTGTCATCAGTCGTGCCTAGATAACTGAGTGAGACAGAAAAATCCTTGCGTAGCTCCACACCTTGGTATTTCTAGCAATTGACTGCTGCGCGTTGAAAATTGGGTTTTACTACAGTAGGATCTCTGGGTCAAGCAAGACTCGAACCAGAGCACGAAAAAGTCTGACTTTACGGTCTGGTTTGGTAAGCGCGATTTTGCACCCACCGCCAGACATGGAACAGTTATGCAACGACTGTAACCGCCGTGAGCATCAATATCCCTCTCTACTACGCCAATCCAAAACGGAACCCCATTGTGCCCCCCCCCCCCCCGAGGATGACCCTCCCGTGGTGACCCTCCCGCTGGTGACCCTCCTGTGATGACCCTCCCGCTGGTGAATCTCCATCTGGTGACCGTCCCGTGGTGACCCTCCCGCTGGTGACCCTCCTGTGATGACCCTCCCGCTGCTGAATCTCCATCTGGTGACCCTCCCGTGGTGACCCTCCCGCTGGTGACCCTCCTGTGATGACCCTCCCGCTGGTGAATCTCCATCTGGTGACCGTCCCGTGGTGACCCTCCCGCTGGTGACCTTCCCGTGGTGACTCTCCTATGGTGACCCTCTATCTGGCGACGGTCCGCTGGTGACCTTTCATCCGGATGACCCTCCCGCTGGTGACCCTCCCGCTGGTGACCTTCCCGTGGTGACTCTCCTATGGTGACCCTCTATCTGGCGACGGTCCGCTGGTGACCTTTCATCCGGATGACCCTCCCGCTGGTGGTCCTCCCATTGGTGACCCTCCCGCTGGTGACCTTCCCGCTGGTGGGCCTCCTGCTGGTGACCCTCCCGCTGGTGACCCTCCCGTGGTGACTCTCCTATAGTGACCCTCTATCTGGCGACGGTCCGCTGGTGACCTTTCATCCGGATGACCCTCCCGCTGGTGAGCCTCCCGCTGGTGACCCTCCCGTGGTGACTCTCCTATGGTGACCCTCCCGCTGGTGACCCTCCCACACTCGCGCCACGTCAGCGCGAGGCGTCCGGCGCGTGCTGACCACAAGTCCCGGTCCTCCGCGGTGTCCCTTGGCGCCGGTGGGTCCGGGTGGTCCGGGCGGTCCGTCCGGTCCGATGGCACCCTGCTCGCCGCGAGCGCCCGCCTCCCCAGGCGGACCCATGGCGCCGCGCTCGCCTGTCACAGATGGCAGCACCGGTCAGCCCAGCGTGCCGGTCAGCCCCCCTCAGCCCGGTCGTTTGGGCCGGATCGGGCGGAGTCCAGGCACTGAGGCTCCGCGGTGATGCATGGCAGAGCGTTCTGACGTTTCGTAGAAACATCGACGTGGTCTTGTGACGCCCTAAATGTTAAACAGTTAAGCGGACGAATCGGCTCAAGGCGTAAATTTGAATCAAAAGACTGATCGGAGCCAATCGCATCAATCACCACTCAGTTCTTACAAAGTCGAGCTTGTTTCTCCGAAAACAACGAACAGCTTGACCAGTGGATGCATGGGCTAGGGTAAAATTCCCTCTATACAAGTCAGCTGCCAGCTCAGAACAACATCGCCGCATAGTTGCGGCCACCTGGGTGACCGCGACAGGGACATTGCTATTCGCTTTGCATCTCGAAGATTCTAAACCAGACGTTCCTCTGACGAATTATTCACACAACTGAAGTTGATTCGCAATGCATTTGCAACAGAGCAGGAAGCATTACTTGGAAGTGGCTGGTTTTCGTGAGGCGCAGACGTCGGCTGAGCGTCCGCGAGCCGGCTCGGCCGCGGGCTCGGACGCGGGGTGCGTACCTCTGAATCCTCGCGATCCTCTGGGCCCGCTCTCTCCGGGTGGGCCGGTGGGCCCCTGCAGGCCCGGCTCGCCGTCCTTGCCGGGGTTACCGGGACTGCCGGGCGTGCCCGGTGGACCCTGCCAGGTCACGTGACAGGTGTGAACACCGCTCGTCCGCGCAGTCCGGCCGCCGCCGAGCTTCGCTGGCTTACCAAACCACACAACAGCCGCAGAATATAACGCCGAATGGTAACTGCCACCAGTACTCATCTGCACCGGTCCAGCCGCGAAGCGAATGGCTTGCAAGTATGCCTAGCCTACAGGTGAGTGGCTGCCACCTGCCTCTCGCATGCACTGCAAGACAATTTAAGTAAATGTCCAGAAGACGTTTGGGTCCACCACGCATGACGCTTCTCTGGAAGCGCCCATCGCCTCCGCTTACGGACGTCGTGTGGCCTGCTGACCTGGAATCCTCTGGCTCCCGACTGTCCGACGGGCCCACGCGCTCCGGCCGAGCCGGGCGGTCCCGGTGGTCCGATGGGACCCATGGGTCCGTCGCGGCCGGCGTCGCCGCGAGGACCCGGAGGGCCAGCGTCGCCCGCCTTGCCGTCCTTGCCCGGTTCTCCCTGGTGAGGCACAGGTGGGGGCGCTCGGAGCACAGCTCAACTCGCCGCCGCCACCGGCCGGACCTCGGGCGCCGGTGACGGCATACCGTCCTCCGCGGAAGTAAAGTAATCAAATAATAGATGAATTAGGTTGCGACCAAGATACTATCGTATACAAATCCCAACAAAGACTAACCAACAACACGGTGCCAGCGAGTCGTCGAGAATAACACCGAGCATAATGCCAAGTACTAACCGCCATCAGCACTCATCCCCACTGGTCCGGCCGCGAACTCCTCGACTTGCGCTTAAGCGCTCAAAGTGTGTTAAATCGGCGCACCAATGATCGTCGCATGCCTTCCCACACGGTGCGAGACGACTAAAGCCTATGTCCACAGACCTTTGGACCCAACAGGCATGGCGCAATGTTCAGCTCGGCCGCCCGCCGACGCCCCGCTTGTCTCGGCGCTGCAAGCGGTCGGGCGCGGCGCCGAACGTCGGCGTCGACTCACCGGTCGTCCCTGCGCGCCGATGGGTCCGATTGGGCCGGGCAGGCCGGTGGAGCCGGTGGCGCCCATCTCGCCAGGTTTGCCGTCGGCTCCAGGCAGGCCGCGGTCTCCGGTGCGGCCGGGGCGTCCCGGACTGCCAGTGCGCCCCTGCATTCCCCCGCTCGCCCCTACCACCGGTCATCGGGGTCAGGGTGAGCGGCGGGAAGGGGCAGCACCATAGGCTGCACCTCAGGGGCAGGCAACAGTGACGGACATCACCAGAGGCCGTACCTGAGGTCATCAGCTTGTGCTCAGTAGAGTCGACACTTCAGCTGTTCCTGTGCGGGCTTCCACAGAGAGCAAGTGGGTTGTACATGGTGTGCTACAAGCTATGTACTGCAGCGGAGCGGCTGGTCGTCAGTTTCGCATTTCTTCATGAGCATCACAGCAACTTACAACCATCCGGCGGGCCGGGCCGGCCAGTGTCGCCGCTGGAGCCCTTAAGACCCATCCTGCCCGGCTGGCCGCGGTCGCCCACGGAGCCCTTCAGGCGGGCGGGCCGTCGGCGCGCGGGCAGGCCGCGCGTGCCGGGCGGGCGCGCTCGCCCTGCGGCCCGAGCAGACCCGGCGGGCCGCGCAGACCACGTCGGCCGCGCCGGCCGGCAGAGCCCGGCGGCCCTGGCGCCCCGCGCGCCCCGGCCTCACCAGAGTCGCCCTTGGCGCCCGACGAGCCCTTCAGGCCGCGGGTGCCGGTCAGGCCCTGCAATGAACGGGCAGTTGTAAGAGAGCAGCTCACACGTAGGCGGCGTGATCTCATGCGAGAACCTTGGTGGCTGTTGAACTGTGGAGAGCAGCCACTGACATTCGAAACAAGTGATTGTCATGCAATTATTCATGGACATGCACGCGATGACAAAAGTAATTGAAGACATGCCAGTATTTTTTCTTTTTGTCTACGAACAGGCTTACAAACAGCATCGCTCAAGTGGACGCAACTCGGTGGACCAGCGAGTCTATGTTACGTCAGGTCGCAGTGCAGCCGGCGCCGCCGCGCCGCGCCGGCGCCGGCTAGCGGCGGCGCACGCCCTTGTGGTCGATTGCTGTGATCCGTACCTGCTCTCCCTTCTGTCCAGGCAGCCCGGGACTGCCCTGTTGCCAGGCGGACCGCGCGGGTCCCGGGAAGCCGGGCGCACCCATCGGGCCGGGCGCGCCGAAGCTGCCTTCTCGCCGTCGGCACCGTCCTTGCCGGGCCGCCCGGGGGCGCCCTGCTCGCCGGGCAGGCCGGGCTGGCCGGCCTCACACTGTCCAACAGGTTGTCACGGGTCTGTCACAGGCGTCACGGGTCTATCACAGGCGTCACGGGTCTGTCACAAGCGTCACGGGTCTGTCACAGGCGTCACAGGTCTGTTACGGCATCACGGGACGGGTCTGTCAAAGCGCCACGGGTCTGTCACAGCGTCACGGGTCTGTCACAGGCGTCACGAGTTCCGTCACAGGCGTCACGGCACCACCACAGGGTCAGTCGGGTCGTACAGGCGTCACGGGTCCGTCACGGGCGTCACGGGTCTGTCATAGGCGTCACGGGTTCTGTCACAGGCGTCACGGGTCCAGTCATAAGCGTCACAAGTTGCGTGTCACTGGCTAACGGTCAAGCGAGGAGGACGCCGAGAGAATGAGACTAAGCACACGCGCAAGTATGTAGAGAAGTGCAGAGCACAGATTCCGAAGAGGCTGACCCTGGGCAGGTGGAGCGTCCGCAGTTAGTCTTTGCGAGATCGCCTGGCAGCGGCGGGCAGTGCGAGCTGGCGGCCCCGCGCCAGCACCGCCACCCGTCCAGCTCACTCACCACGAGGCCCCTGGAGTCCGACGCTGCCTTGGGCCCCTCGTTACCGCGGCACCCTTGGCGCCGGACTGCCCGGAAGCCAGGCGGACCGGACTTGCCGTGGCGGCGCCCTGTCGGCGGGGCTGGCGGTGGTCAGCGGCGGTCTAGCGCGGCGGAGGCGAAGCCGAGCCGGCCAGGCGCCGGCTAGTGATACACCGCGTCAGGGCTCCTGGCCATCTGATACGCTGCGTCAGGGCTCCTGCGCGG